AACAATGCATACATACATATATTAAGGCATGTAATTTACATATACTTAACAATAGGAATTAACTATACAGATTGAATTATTGATTTAAAAAAAGAGAAAAAAGAAAATATGGAATTTTGGATGATAAAAATAGTCCCTGAAAAAAAAAAGGCAGGAATATTGCATACAAAATAATTTACTGTATATTAAACTTTACCACTTAAATCAAAGTGTAATGAGTAATTGTTTATTTGTTGTCACCTCCCGATATTATAAAGGTGAAAGTTCAATTTGTGATATAAACCGCAACAACAAGCAATTGTTTAAATTAAATTTAAATTTTATTTGTCAGCCAATTAACCAACTGTAAAGTAAAAAATCAACGATAGAGAATTGCAATTTTTCAACATCATGTGTTTTTTTTTTTTTTGAAATTTAATCACGACAAAAGGACAATAAGTAACACCAATTGGATGGAAATAAATTTTGAAAGACTAAACTGAAAATAAAATTTGGCTTCTATTTTTGCCTTTTTTTTCCTGATTAGCATGAAAAAATGGAATCATGAATGAATAAGTTATTGAAATAAATAATTTGAAAATGAAATAATAATGAAATTTTTGATTCAAATAATATAGAAGGAACAGCACCTTGTAATAGGAAAGGAAAAAAGAAAAAATTCGATTTAAATAAAACTTCATAACATGATATTATAAAAATTGCATGAAAAAAAATCCTCGATCAGGTAATAATTTCAAATTCAAAATTATGGGTTGCATGTGAATTGGAATTTGAAGTTATGAATTTTTAAAATTCCAAATTGAATTTTAGTCTTATTAATTCTAATTAAAAAGCATTATTTTTCAAATTTTAGCAATTTTTATGGGGAAAAACTCATTCAATTTAACATAGCATTTATTGAAAGTGAAAAAATTAACAAATAAATTGCAAATTTGAGAAATTGATTTCATTTCTTTGCAAATTTCAACGAGCATTTATATCAGCTATATATAATAATTTCTACTGATATTGTCTAATTTTTTAATTTAGTTTAAAGCAAAACTCAATAATTTATTATCGATTAATTTAATTGCTTTAAAATTGAATAATTTACTCATATTTAATTTAATTGACTCATTTAAAAATTAACACATCTGATTGTAACCACATGGTTTGATGTAGCAATATACTTTTAGGATGAATCTGTTTATATTATAATTAAAAATTATTCAATTTAGCTATTGGAAAATGTTTAATTATTATTTTGTCCCAAGCATTTCCAATTACTATTAATGAATAAATTGGGAAGAGAGATGAATAAAATATTTGTAAAATATTGATAAAAAAAAAAGAAAAAAACAACGGAAGAATAATATTTTATTAAATCGATTCTTCAATCAATCGATAATTCCTATTTTTAATATTATACTTAATTTATTAAATTTCTTGTTTCTACCAATTTTTTTTTCTCTTTTTTTTTTTTTTGTAATAAATCAGATCATTCTGTCTTTTTTCAATCATTCAAATTGTGACAAGAAAATTTTCTATTGCAATAAATGTGAATGATGAAATGGAGTGGTACTTTAAAAATTAAAAAATAAATTTTACGTTTTCCTTTTTTTTAATTTCTCAAATTATCCAATGGAAACGCTTTTTTTGCATTTTTTTTTTGGCTTAAATTAGGAAAAATGCAGCTGTAATTTGTTAAAATATTATTATATTTTAAAATTGTTTGTTTCAAAGTAACAAACAAATATTTTCCTTTTTTCCTTTTAAAGAAAAAAGAAACAATAAAATTAATAGTTATCAATTTATATACAAATACAAATTTACAATTGTGGAATAGTGGAAATGTCATATTTTTAAAATAGTTGAGAATGGAAATGAATATTTCCTTTAGAAAATTTCTGACAATTTTTTTTTTTTGCAAAAATTAATTTTAAATTAGTTTCTTTTTTTCCTTCATTCTCTGCATATTGTCAAGTAAAACTTTTTGCAAAACATGGATGAGAAAAAATTAACCCAAAAAGGAAGAAAAAAAAAAAGAATTGAATTTGATTTTCTAATTAACAGTAAATCAATATTTTTTCCTATTTCTGATTTATTTGGCAATGTAAAAAGAAAGGTTTATTATGATAAAATTTCTTTTGCCATCGAAAAATTTATTTTAATTAATGATTAATCCAATTTTAGTTTAATTTATAATCATAGTGATCCTTTGTGGAATATTATTGATGAGCATAATGAAATGATGGTTTGTTTTCGCTTTTTTTTTTTTCTCCCTATCTTTTAAAGCTATTTTCTTATCTAAAAATTCTTAATAAATTTAATTTACAAGAGGAAATTTCATTTTTACTATCTTTCAAACTTTTCCTTGTGAGGAAAGAATTAACAACCGATCGGGAAAAAAAAGGCAAAAATATATGCCAAATTTTATTTTCAGTTTAGTCTTTCAAAATTTATTTCCATCCAATTGGTGTTACTTATTGTCCTTTTGTCGTGATTAAATTTCAAAAAAAAAAAAAAGAAACACATGATGTTGAAAAATTGCAATTCTCTATCGTTGATTTTTTACTTTACAGTTGGTTAATTGGCAGACAAATAAAATTTAAATTTAATTTAAACAATTGCTTGTTGTTGCGGTTCATATCACAAATTGAACTTTCACCTTTATAATATCGGGAGGTGACAACAAATAAACAATTTCTTATTACACTTTGTATTTAAGTGATAAAGTTTAATATACAGTAAATTATTTTGTATGCAATATTCCTGCCTTTTTTTTTCCTAGAGACTATTTTTATCATCCAAAATTCCATATTTTCTTTT